ATCCCCAAAAAATGGCAGAGACAACCCAAGTGCCCTTCCCTCTGGGCCTCCACAGGTGGATGTGTCCACACACTGGCTGTGACAGTCCCAGCAAAGCCTCTGACCTTTCTAGCCAACATCCTGATGGATTGCTATTTTTCTGTGCTGGCTACATTGGTTCCAGGCAAAGATCTTCTGGAGGATATGGGAGGATGCCACCCCTTAGAGTGTCCAAGCAAAGCAGCTTTGAGAATAACTCGAGTCTCTGGCTCCCCAGTGAAGCAGCTGAGGATGGGGACTACAGGGATGCTCACACTTTTCTGGAGGGCCACTCGGGCAGCTCTGGTGGTGAAGGAGAGGGATTTTCCTGTTGTCCTTCCTCCCTCTGACCTGGTTCTTGAAAAAGTTCTGAATTAGTACTGCCCTTCTGGATTGGTCTGGGTGTTGGAAGCACCCAGAAAAGAGCCCTGTGCAGGTGCCCACACAAGTAGCACCCAAGCCGAGCGAGGTGGCTCACACCTGTAATCCTAGCACTCAAGATACTACACAAATCTCACCCCACTACACCCAGCTCACCAGAGATTGGAACCTCCTAACGACAACACAAACCAGAGACACCATCCCCCACCCACCACAGGTAGACACACACGCACTACCCCGCGCGCCGCATGCGCCCCCCCACCGCCTGGGAACCAGGAGAGACCAGGTTTCCCAAAGGGTATGCTGTGAAAGGGCCCATGAACGACCCATCCCCCTCTCCTCCCTGTACTTCTTTTCCCTCCAGCCTCACATACCCTGGGCCCCTGCGTGCCCCCCGGGCCTGACATCATGCTAGTGCGGGCAAGAGAATGCTGGGAGCAGAGAGCTGGCCTAGTGCCGGGAGAACAGAACTCAAGGAACACTCCCTTTTCCATCCTCTGCCTGTGGCTCAATCCTCAAAATTTCTAGATAAGAGTTACAGGTTTGCCTGATAAGGTTTTTATAGGAAACAATTTTCTGGAAGAAAAAAAGGAGTTACCTGGGAAATGGACTGGAGGCTGATGGAGAAGAAATAAAGGGTTTTTTTCTTGGATTCGAGCTGGCTGCTGTCCTTTTGCTCTGGCTAGGACAAAACCTCTGGGCCCTCTGTACTTTTCGGCATGGCATTGACCCAAGAGTCCAGCTGGAGGAATCTAGATCCTAGCCCCTGCTCCTTGGGGAATAGTCCCCCAGAAAGCGATTCCTTTTTTTTTTTTTTTTTAAGACCAAGAGTCTCACCTGTTGCCCGGCTTGGAGTGCCATGGCTCGGCCTACGCCTCAGAAAGTCCTCAAACTCCTGGCTCAAGCGTCTTCCTGCCCTTAGCCTTCCTAGTAGCTGGGACTACAGGCATGCACCACCCATGCCGTGGCTA